AGAATAACATGCAACCAGACGGATATTCCGGCCAACAATAACAAGGAGCTAAGGATAACCGAGATATTTCGCCAGTTCAAGAACCTACGGCGGGGCCGATGGGTTCGAGAATTGTATGAAGTAAAATGTGTATCATAGGGACTTGAGGAAGAAAGAAGTTTGTCTTCATCGTGAAGATTGAGGTCAGATGATGAACGAGAGCCCATGTTCTGTGAATTCGCAGCCTGTGAAAGACACGAGAGGAGATGATGAGATCCAGACTAACAAAGGTGAAGGATGAAAGGTCGTAGAGTTGATGGGAATACCCTCAAGACCCGGAATCCCGACAGACTGGTTAATTTCGGAGTTGACAAGATAAGTTGTCCTGGGGTTTCACTCTGTAGCAAATGGCTGGAACAGAACATGGATCGCGGCAACTTATGCTACAATGCAAGCTGACTGTATGTGCTGCCTAACGCAGGTCACAGAACACGAATAACCATATCTACCCGTTAAATGATGGCCTTGAAACAAAGCTTGTTCAGCTCGGTGATAATACCGCACGTTTGTCATACGCCGGATTTTACCCCTGCCATCTCTCAACCACCCGTGGTGCTTACGGTGATAGTCGCACACAGGTTACACTCACTGGTTGCGATAAAGCTTATTTGAATAATCCCTGTCAATGGCGGTAATCAACGGATAATACCAGATCCACAAGGTTACACATGAAATGCCGCTGAGTCCATGATGTGTTTTTTGATACATAGCAATAGATTTTGCAATTGCTTGCGTAGTGCCTCCGATAACACTGAGAGACAGGCTTAACCCACCCTCTGTTCATTCTGCTGTTTGAATTGCTCGGTCTTCTCATACTCCTCCCTTCAGTTGATCTCCCCTAGCACGATGAAATTCCTATTCGAAAGAAAATCCAAATACACTAGCGTCTCATCCTTTGATGCAGACAGCGAATCGTCCTCTATCACCTCTTCACCACCACACAAAAATGGATCAAAAGTAAAGAACGGCCTTCTGGTTGTCCTTGCCATAGGCTGGATGGTAACTTTGTTCCTCTATGTGGAAAAAACGATTGCCACTCAGCGGCCTTACACTCCGATTCCGTCTTCTGCATTCCGTCGCGTAAGTGTGGTTTTCCAGCATGACGAGAGATATGTTGGACCATCGGATGAAGCGACAGACCACTGGAACGACCTCATCGCTGGTATTCTCTCTCAATGCCCCGCAAAATATGTATCTGATGTAGCGTGTAGGCCATGATGCGCTTTTCGTCGAGGACCCAAAGAAATACGGATTACCCGAGGGCATCGTGGCATCTTATGAACACCCGAACAAGACTAATCCACCCGACAACCGCTTCTACGTGATTTCCCAACTGCATCAGCTCCACTGTCTAGTAAGCGAATGTATGTCTGTCCACGGGGAAACCAAGACTAACGAATATAGGCAATTATTCGATGGAATTATTGGCAAGCTGCGGAGGGGAAAAACATGTCCGAAATTCGAGATGCGGCAAACTACAAGCTACATGTCAATCATTGCTTTGAGTACTTAAGACAGAGTATGATGTGTGGAGGTGATATCATTGTTGAGGGATACAGTGCTTTGGGCCATGCAACAAGCGTTACAGGGTGGGGCACGAGGCATAGTTGTATAGATTTCCAGGAGTTGAGGAGATTTCAGATTGATCAGGAGATCAAGTATAACCATACTTGGATGGGTATTAGATAGATATTTGCAGGAATCATATATAAGAATGCATTCGGCGTTTTTTAAAGTTTGAACATTTCTAAAAACTTGCTCATGCGATGTACTGTGGCTCGACTGCCTCGAAACCATCACGAATCTTTAAAAAGCTGGATGCTGCCTGCATGCATGGCGTTGGCTAACTAGAGTAAATCGGCACATAGCGAGATGGTTAGTACGGTCTCAACTACTCTAGTGTGCCACTATGTTCTGATTCGGTTAGCTAACCATAGAACTAGCCATGCATGCCGGCAGCAACCACTTTTTTGAAGATTCGCGACGATTTCGAGGCAGTCAAGAGATACTTATGGGAATCTGTGTATCTTATACTCAATTTTTTGGCTGCTTCAGGTTAACCGACGACTAATAAGCACTTGACTTGGTCGATGACCACTGACTGTTTATCTTTGGTTAGCTCTGCGGCGTGGATTCATCGCGGAGGATCAAGTATGATGATATACAAAATCATTTCAATTCAACAAGAAAGCAAGCAAACAAGTCATAATCGTAACAAATCGTCACATCTTCCTTCACCCATCAAATCTGCGACTGGTTCGCCTCGGCTACATCACGCTTTCCTGCAGATGCCCAAACATACAACGTCTCCTTCGTTCCCCTCTTCACAAACTCTACATCCCGCTCCTTAATTAACTCGTTCACTTCATCCGGGGTCGCCTCCCTCTTTCCCGGAGAACTCCAAACCCACAAAGTCTCCTTCATTCCCGGTTCAGCTACACGCTTCTCAATCTCATTCCCGGATGGAAGATCACGCTTTCCCGGAGAACTCCAAACCCACAGAGTCTCCTTCATTCCGCGCTTCTCAAGCTCAGAAATGTCTCGCTTTCCGGTAGAAGCCCAGACGTAAAGGGTCTCCTTGGTTCCCCGCTTCTCGACCGCGGCGAGATCACGTTTTCCGGCAGAAGACCAGACATAGAGCGTCTCTTTCAAGCCCCGCTTGATGAAATCGGAGGTCTCTTTGGGGGTGGCTTCGCGCTTGCTGGCGGAGGACCAGACCCAGAGAGTTTCTTTTTGGCCGGCGGAACGGGCGGAGAGAGTATTATCATCGGAGGTAATAGGCGCAGTAGCAGCAAGAAGAGCTCCGTAGAGAACGAGGAGGGAGGTGAGGCGCATGATGACGATGATGATGTGTATCGTGCACTGGATCGAAGAGGATAGGTATACGGTAATGACCAGTGTATAATGTGATTGAGAACGCTTTATATCGTTTGTAGAGGGGAATGCGTGGATGCTTAGAAACCACTTGGCTTTCTCGTTGGAAAAGTATGCTGCCCGAAAATACCCGCTTTCGTCTCTATTAGTAAATTACCTCAAACGGCATGAAGTTCCTTAGACCAATCTAGGAAAAATACGGTTGCCTGGTGTTGTTGAACAGAAATAGCAATTTCCGGTCGAATTTTGTTTTAGACAATGGATTCCAATGTTGTGTCTGTAGTGAGGCATTTCGTGAACCTGGCGATGTTGAGTTTTGATATGCGATGACTTACAAGTCACGAGTCACAAATAAGCTTCGGGGCTCATATGAACCCCGGATTGCGGGGATGGCACGTGCATTATCGCGACGGTTGTTTTCGCTGCCCTAGAACGGGGGCTACTTTGTCGACTCTACCATTGATCCCTGACAGCGATTATTATCCAACTCCCGTGTTGAACCAAGTACGCTGAATTGGTGAATACAGTGGTATCTGATAGAACAACAAAAAGCTGTGAATCAACTTCAAAAGTTCTTGAAGAGTAATTCTCGCACACACAAGCAATTACCTTCGAAAATACCAGCCAGGATAATCGAGTGAGTAGAAATAACTTCATGACATCGTCATCTTCATCTTCAGCTCGCACCAATTGATTTTGTGATAAGTAGTGTTCAGTAACAAGGCTGACTTGGCTTCGATTGGGAATTGTAATTCATGCGTAAATATCCGCGGTCATCCGTCAGTCTCAACTGAATCAAACCATTGGACGTCGACTGCGTAGTCCCGGTTCGGCGTAATTAAGATTCTTGAAACAAGCAAACTCGTAGTAACGTCATCCTGATTGCGAAACCATGGTAACACCGCTGTATTCACTCGGGAATCAGATGCTGTGACCTCCGAAATAAGCGCCAATCTCGCTGGCAACGGTTGTAACACCGGCGAGGAGTGCGTATGTATGTACATGCGAAACCCTGCAACCCTGCAACCCTGCAACCCTGAGTTCAGACTCAATAACAACCTACTACTCCTTATCGTATGATAGGATTGAGAGAACTCTTACCACCTAGGGTCAGTGGTGAATCGCCGAGTCTCAGTAAACTCTTACAGCCCACTCCTCGTCCCTCGACTCAACTCCTCATCTTCACACAACCAAATTATCATGCTGAATTCATCTTCCAAAATCACCCAAGAATATTCCCAAATTCCGAGCACAGAGGAAACGGAACCACCAAACCCACCCCGAAGAAGTCATATCCCATTACTCTCATCTCTTTTCTGTATTCTCCTCGGCATCTCAATCGGGATAACTCTCGGCTTTGCCTTGAAGCCCAGCTCAAAACATGCTTCTTCTCTTGTTCCGCTAGAGATATCGCGCAATCGCAAACCCGTTGCTTTCTTCCCCGATCCTCGATATGTCGGCGGCACCGACGAAGTCCACCAAAACTGGAGGAACTTAGTTAAAGGTATTGTTCCTACACCGAAATGACAATTCATTTGTACTAATACCGCACAGCTGGCGATGCGGTATATCTACCGAACCCCCAAAAGCTTGGTCTCGACAAAGGCATAAAAGCACCACCTCAAGTCTCTCAGCCCAAGGACAGCAGAAAGCTAGTCCCAAACTTCTACGTAATTTCAAACCTACACCAGTTACACTGCCTAAGTGTCATTCGGAAGAGATATTGGCATATCATCTCTGGTAAATATTCGCCGTCAGATGCCGATGCAGAGGCTTGGCAGGAACATATCGATCACTGCGTGGAGTACTTGAGGCTGGGAATAACTTGCGGCGATCTGCTTGTGGTTGAGCCGGATAGTCCTGAAGGGACACCGAAGGAGTTTACGAAGGGAAATCTTGGGTGGGGAGCGGTTCATCAGTGTATGGATTGGGAGCGTCTGATAGGGTGGCAGAGAAAACAGGAGAGAGTATGGAATGGAACGTGGCAAGAAGGATTGTAGACGGTTTAGAACCAAGATAATAAATTTTAAGCTAAGTAGACGCTAATGCGACCAAAAAAGACCAGATGAATGACAAGCAAAAAGGACGGCTCGAACCAGGATTTGAACCTGGGACCTCTCGCAAATCACTGAAGATACTTAGGGAGTAACCCTAAGCGAGAATCATACCACTAGACCATCCGAGCAACTTGATATCAGTTGGAAAACTATTAGTTATAAAAATAAAAACATTTTTGGGTTTGTTGTCACTCGGAATCCTTTTTGTTCAGTATCCGAAACTTAATAGGTTGCTAGATCCATCTAGCACGGCCTTCGCCTCTGCAATTTCAGGGTAAGCTATGAAGAAAGATTTTCGATTATCGGGAAGTCCGAACTTGTCTTCGGAGTTGCTTCTTCTTCTCCTGGTATTTCGGTATGCCTTTCTACCGCATAGGTGCTGTATGATCAGTGTTTACGATCCAATCTTTCAATACGATACTTCGTCTCCCTTGATAGGTGCAATTGCACTAGCTCGCAAGTTATCTTTCGTTTCTTTCAGCGGTGCATCTACCCTTCTGCTCTTAGAGTGCGCGTTGGTGTTTGTGTGGTCGTTGCACTGTGGACTCTGGGCTCAACCTTGTGATCCGTCCGGTTGTTGCTCCGTCTCCTCACATGACCTATCTGATTCTTCGCGGATGAAATTGCGCGTCCATTTGTGGCACCGTTTGCTGATCCCATACTATTCGGGCTTCGAGTTATCGACTCCTGGTCCGTCGTTTTTTTTTAGGCCCCTAATTCCGTGAAGATGTTCTCGCAATACAAGCAAAGCAGCCTTAAGCCTGGAAGAAAATATGAAGTATTAAAGATTAAAAGTTGTAAGATGATAAATATCCAGAAGTGAATCTTGCGCAGAAAATGTCCACAAAACGTTTCCCCCCCCCGGCGAATTGCCTTAAATCGTAGAATACGATCGAGTCTATTGAAGTGCGACATCCAAACTCGGGGCGTGAGAGTTATAGGCTGATTACCTGCACGACGTTCTGTTAGCCAACATTCGAAGTTATAATTCCTTAAAACACGGACAATCACAGTATCTAGGTAGTACTCACCAAGTTATACGTAGTTTAGAAGTCAGCAAATGAATGTAGGAAGAGAAGTAAGCAATAAGAAGGGATATAGGAACTCGTAAGACGTAATTGAGCCCGCTATTTGATCCACCGATTCTCGAAGTCGAGAAGTCAAAAGCTCGTTTAATAGGAGTAGACCTAAACGGACACTCTGTTAGCCACCACAACTCAAGGAGCATCGCGAAATAGATAACCTACCAGGACCAGAAAAATGCAACGTTTACGACGAAGAAGCCAAGGGTTGAGATCCGAAGATATTATTCCACATTGCTGATAGTTGTGCAATCATCTAGCAGAACCTGGTTCCTCAAGGGGAAGGAATATCAGGTGCATGCGGATTTGCCCACAGCTTCGGAGGGCACCAATTGGGACCAAGGCCGGGTCAATTGGGATGGCAGAGGTGAAGGGGATGGCTGGCTCTTCCTTGGCGGTAGTCCTCCACTTTGTCTCTACGACACGATTCCCCTCGACAAGTGCGGAGCCGGATCATGAGCTCCTCGTGGATTTCTTCCAGGATATCTTCTGGCGGGAGCTCGTTTTCTCAAGCGAGAAGGAGCCTTAGGCGCGTACGGATTTATCCACGGCTTCGGAGGGGCAACAATTCTAACCAATTCCGGGTTAATTGGGGTGATAGGAGAGGTGGGTGGTAAGGTAGGCTCGGGGAGGCCAGATATATTGAAGAAGTCGTAGAGACGTCCCCAGGCATTGTTTATCGATCCGAAGACATCCACGCTGAGTATCGAGCTGCCCCACACGATGCAACGATAACCACAGGGAGTTGAACACGACTGTAGGGAGCTTGACATGAATATCTCAAGAGATTCGAAGGCGCCGTGGATGCATTGAGGTTGTTTCTGCGACATTATTATCGATGGTTGGAGCTTAAACGGATGCTGTGGACGCTTGTGGGAGCTTGTAGGTTGCCTAAGAGTCGAAGACGATGGTTGATCGTGTGCCGACGGAAAGCCCTACGCTGACATGACCAAGGCATTATGGTGAGCCATAGGTGGCAAATATCGCTATGTTCTTTATTCCTGTGCTATCATACACCACAGCCCGAGCGTCGTTGTCTCCATAGTACTATGTATCCGGGCGCTATGTATCTACAAAAACAAAGACTTAAGTCACTTAACCTTCATGCAACGGCCCATACGTCCCCGTGTTATGCACCACCGCTGAATACTTTCTTAAACTCCTGCAAATGCCTTAAACTCATGTAATTCCTCACTACTCGTGCCGATAATTATCCTCCACTGAAGCAAACCAGTCCGGCAACTGGTACCAGTTCTCAACGGCGATCATGTTATTCAACATGATTAAAAACTCATGATATCCTATGCCTTTTCTTGCCGAGTACTCAAGGTAACTCACATTCAACTCCATCTCTCCCATCAACTCAAACCCCAGCTGTTCAACTGTTCCTTTCTCAATGTATTCAAAATCATGGTACGTAAGACCCAGCTCCTTCGGGCCTTCACCCGCCTTACACCCCAGAAGCAAGATTGGTACTCCCTTAGCGGATCCTCTAATGATGTGAGCATATGCCTCAACGTATGTAAGAACCGAGAATTGGTGACCTCCTGGACCCAGCAACGGGAAGACGATGATAATAAGATCAAGTTTTCGAGGCTTGGCGAAGAGGAATTTGGTGTTGCGCCATTCCCAGAAGGTGAACTTGATTTCAGAGTGGTCTTTGAAGAAGCCTTGGGCTTGGGATACGTTCGTGGGTTGGTAGTAGCTGGAGTAGATGCCACCACAGATGGTGTTGATGAACTGTGTCTTGCCGCCTTCTCTGGGGCCGAGGACGGCAATGTTGATATGGCGCTCCGTGGGTTTGGGCTTTTGGCAGCTGGTAACGAAGTTGAGTGGGTGTTGGTTGTGGTTTGGTACGTTAGACATGATTCGCGTGAAGGTGAGTTCCAAAGAAGAGGAAGCTCAAAGGGATGGAAAAGAATGAACTTGGTTGAGGGGTTGATAGAAATCGTAGGGGTCGAAGATTGTAATTCTATTATGGAACATTCTTCACATTTAAAGCTGAAGGTTCCAGTTGCACGGGAAGCATGTTAAACATTCATTGCCTTTGCACCAATTCCATCTCAATTTTCAGCAGTGAAAAAGCGGAGATATAATAGTAGAGAGTTAATTACATGTACATATCGATAGATATCATAAGACAAAAACCAACGCCAGCCAACGCCAAAAGTGCACAAGTAGAGGATCTACACCCTGCATGCATCGCAAAACGTACAGCACGTTAAAATACCGATTCATCACTCACTCCTTCTGCGTCCTCTTCACCCTGAAGCTTGTGGAGTGAATCCTTCACCTGTCGCTTGATCTGGGTAATGGACCATCGTTGCTTTGAATCGCGATTACAACAGCCAGCGGCCATTGGGGGGATTCCGTAGCGATCCCAAACTGCGTCTCCCGGAATACAAGGTTCCTGGATATCGTTATCATCACCTGGAATAGCTTTGTTGAACCAAATCCACTGCTCTGTACCGGTACCGAACTGACAAGCAAGCTCCACTACAAAGATATTAGCGTTAAAGATCGAGAATTTTGATCAATACGAGTGGAGAGCATACATAGGATGATTCCAAGGGCCCAAATGTCAACCGTGGGATGGCATCCTCCTTCTGGTGGCATATATTTGCCGGTTCCATGTAGCTTTCCTTGAGGCTGCTGGACATTGTCGGGGTTTCGAGGATCGAAGTTTTCGATAATCCCTGTGATTCGTTGATTAACGGTCGAACAAGGAATAGAAGTGTAGTTTCTTACCAAAGTCTGTGATCTTGGGAACAACAGTTGCTTTGCCTTGCTTGCAGCATGTTGTCCCGCCGTAGTGTTCGATGTGAAGCATAACGTTTGCCGGCTTCAAATCGCGATGAGTAATACCCTTTTCGTGTAGATATGCAACACCCTCCACGATATCTCGGAAGATGCTGAGCGTAGCCCGAGGACAATGACAGTGGTAAACATCCGGACCGTCGCCACTGCTTATATCGGCACTAAAGGGGATGAACTCCCGTAGAGACATGTCGTACAAGGCCATCACGATATGTAGGGTCAGGTTGTGCGGGGCGGCGAAGCGAGGCATACTTGGCGCAAAAAATCCCGCCTGGCCTTCGGACAAAACGGTGAGTTGACGATCATTTTTTCCCAGCTGACGACGTCGAGGTTTTTCATGGGTTTCCTCTTCTTTTGGGGAATAAATCACGTCGGGCCAGTTTTCCGGGTAGGCGGGACCAACTGGTTTGTCTTGTTCCAGTCGCAGGAGCTCCTGCTCAAAGTCATCGAAACCATCTTCTTCGTGCACCATTTTTCCATCTTCGACCCAGGATGAATAATATCGTACAATATTAACATGGTCCAACTTGGCCAGAGTCCTCACTTCTCTGAGAATTCTCGCCCAGCCCAGTCTGGCATTGCCTCTACCATTGGCACGTAGGCTGTCCGATGTAAGTGGTATCCTCTTCAGTGCGTAGTCGGCTCGGTCGAGTTTGTGAACTACCCTTGATACCACACCAAACGAGCCCGACCCCAATATCTCATGTTCAGTGTAATCTTCCTTTATTAATGAGGGTCGAGTGCCCAGCATTAATGGGATACGGGAACTCTCAAGTGACAATCCAGCAAGGTTCGCAGCTACGCTATTTGCCCGGGAGAGTACAAGTGCTTTACTCGCAGGTTCAGCCGGAAGCGCAATGGTTTGCTGATCTATCTTCCCACGAAGCTGTTTTGCGTATTTCTCAGTTCTGGTATAGTAGTGTGATCGAACAGATCGAAGTTCTTTCGAATAGGCACCACCCATACTGGTTCCTAGAGTCTGCTCCATAGCCTGACACATCCCTTCCAGCATGATTTGCAGCTTCTCCTCAGGTAAATCAGGGTTCTGTAGTTTGAGGTTGGCTTCCATTATGGCTGCCTGGAATATCTGATCGGAACTGGGTTTAGGTGTATTGGCCGATGACGCTATGGTTCCGGAGACGTCGCTGTCCTCTGCCTCATCCACTTCTGGACCATCATCGCCGTCGTCGTCTGAGTTGTATTTCGATTGTAGCTGGGACTGGACCCGT